AGTGGTCAATCCGATAGATCTCTTTCTCTGTCCAAATCAGTGACAGCGCGTCCGACAACTCCTTTGAAGACTCGCTGTCTTTTCCAAACGGCTTTTCAATCACTAGTCGAGTCCAACCACTGGTTAAAAATTGAATTAATAAATTATATGATATTTCATTTGAATATAGATTTAATAAAAATTTTATTTCCAATATGCAATAAAAACTTACGTTTTAGAGTAAAGGGTGGTTTTGACTGCAGCCGCAGTTTTGGCAAAGAGATACGCGGGAAGAGCGAAATACACCAATCGGTGTCCTTTCTTTTTACCGGTTTCAAACTTGTTCACAATGTCAGTAACGGGTGCCAAGTCTTTGTCCGATTGAGAGTCACCTGAATTATAGGTCACAATCTTCCAGAACTGTTCGTACAGTTGCCTCTCGTGTTCATTCTTAAGGGTGTTGACGACATACGGGTCCACCAGTTTCTTAATGGCCTCAACCGATGACTTCGAGTGCGCGAAACCCGCGATCTGGAAGTTTTTCGGCAATAATCCCTCCTTATATAGTGTACTAAATGTGTGATTAAAATCAGATTTAATATAAAATAAATAACAAATTATTGATATTATAAAAATAATTATTACTAAATATTATAATTATAATGATAAACATAAATAATTTACTTACAAAAGTGTTGGCATTAACTTCTTTTGCGACAAATCACCCTATTATGCAGGAATACAATTAAATTAATTTGTAATTAATTTTAGATATTTAATACATACGGTAATGCCAAGCAATACAAAAGTATAGGCCTCATCATTAGGATATGGAGAATTTAATAAACCATCGGTACTATTGTCAGGACTAACCCATTTAGACTCAACTAATGTCTGGATTACCAGCAATGAAATGAATAAACTCTTTAAACACAACATATTTAGTTTATTTATAAATAAACTATATTTGAAATTATGTCTAAATAATTTAATAATAACTGAATGGTTGCAGAGAATTGTATTGCTTTTATATTTAACAAGAAATTGAGTTAAAATGTATTAATGAATATAAGAGTGCAAAAAACTTGTTATAAATTGAAATTATTGATTATAAGCATGATGCATTTATTTCTAACTTACATAAACTTATACTGCATTTATAATCAAGATAACAAATCTCGGGGGAAGGAAAGAGTGAAAATCCTCACTGTTTTTAATACTAATACATAAATAATAAATAAATGATTTAAAATAAGTCTCTTGTAAATCGTAATCTGAAATGTGTTTTAATTAATTTTATTTATATTTTAGTAACGATATAAATTAATTCATATATCATTTCAGTATTTTAATGAATATATAAATCTCAGACACAATTGATTTCATAGTAAACAAATATATATTTATTGATAAAAAGTTCACACTTTGTTGAAATCACTTCAAACATACACATTAAATGCAATCAATTTTAAGCTACAAGTTATAAACTACAAATTTCATTGCACAATGCTATTTAAAATAGACAACTTGTTAATTATACCAGTTTAATACTAATTAATACTAAAGAATTTGCATTTTATGTATGCAAAATATGTATTCAATAACCAATTATAAAAGTAACCATGATCTTACTATCAAGTAAGAAAAGTTATTTAATGTTCAATTGTGAGAACCTATTTGTGCTAACATTGCATTTTAGCCATAGTTTTCGTTGCGTTATTGATATTAATATACTGTACTCTTGTATTACAATTATAAACCACATATAAATCTCAGCTATGAATTGATTTCATTGAAAACATATCAAAATTAATACATTTTGATAAAAAGTTCATATCTTTGTATAATCCAATGCATAGTGTGTGGCACATTTAGTATTTTAATCCATACATTTATTTGTTTAGTGCAAATATAGTTTATTTCTGGTGCAAAAAATATAAACAATTATTTGATGAATTTATTTCAATTTTTATATTAGATAACAATAATTGTTAGTAATTGTTAATTACAGTCAGACATGTACAAAACGATTTCTGTCATTTAGTTCATAACATTGATTAGTTCATAGGATAAAAGGTAGGTGTCTATTAATTAATTAATTGTTTTCTCACAATACCACTCTTTATATAATTAATTATTTCATATTTTATCTGAGCGGACAATTTGTTTCGCTTTTCAAATATTTTAGACAAAAAAAACAAATTGTTGTTTAAATGTCTTATAATACTGTGAATTATATTTCTTTATTTGGTGACACTTAACGTATGGATCGCACTGTTTAATGAGTTTGTGTATGGGTTTACAAGAAAGAGATTGAAATATATAGAAATGTCACAAATTTTGGGCAAAAAGTGCTCATATGATTGATTGTTCACAGCATAGATGATCCATAGGCCGGTGATCCACATTCCTTACATTAATTGTATAAGGTACGTATTTTGGTTTTGTTCATTGGTTCATACCATCGCTGGTTCACAGGAAAGAAGTCTGAAAGTAGTGAATATTTAAAAAAGAAAACAAATTCATTTCAATTACTTATATTTTATTATTAAATAAATTTATTTATAATAAATTACATAACTTACAGATTGTTTGGTAAAATATCACAAATTTAAACTGTTTTATAATAAAATTGTAAGGAATGGGTTAAGGATAGCGAAAGGGGTTCTTATATATACAATTAATATAGAAAATGTATATAACATTTACACAGATTTTCATTTAGTATACAATATTCACGTTTTATATAAAAGAAATTTTATAAATTTAATTTACAGACAATTAATTTGCAATAAATTCCATAATCGTTTGGCTATAATTAAATGTAATGTCATTTTTAGTGTTAAAGTTTTATATTATAAAAATTTTAATTTTTTTCAACGAATATAATTTAGAGTTTGAGTAAATATTCAATAAAAGTTTGAGCTATTTTTGTGTCTCTAAACAAATCCTTTTTTGGCACTTAATTTGTTTAATAATTAAGCCATTGATTATACGATCAAGGTAAGTTTGTGATCATCATGAAAACAACCTTCAATCGCACATTCATTAGCATAAAC